GAACCCGATTTGAGCCCCGTCTTCTCCCACATGTCTCTCGTGCCTAGGCGGTCGTGTGTGCCATGTTTCGTGCTAAACCGACGCCTTTTGGTGATTTTGGGGCGTTAACTCCTCGAATTCAAGTTTCTTAAGGAACTAGTTTGCCTAAAGTGAAATCCGGCTCTAACTCCCAAACCGGGAACCTGATTCGAGCCCCGTCTTCTCCCACAAGTCTCTCGTGCCTAGGCAGTCGTGTGTGCCAAGTTTCGTGCTAAATCGACGCCGTTTGGTGATTTTTGGGCGTTAACACCTCGAATTCAAGTTTCTTAAGGAACTAGTTTGCTTAAAGTGAAATCCGGCTCTAACTCCCAAATCGGGAACCCGATTCGAGCCCCGTCTTCTCCCATGAGTCTCTTGTGCCTAGGCGGTCGTGTGTGCCAAGTTTCGTGCTAAACCAACGCCGTTTTGGTGATTTTGGGGCGTTAACTCCTCGAATTCAAGTTTCTTAAAGAACTAGTTTGCTTAAAGTGAAATTCGGCTCTAACTCCCAAACCGGGAACCCGATTTGAGCCCCTCTTCTCCCACAAGTCTCTCGTGCCTACGCCCTCGTATGTGCCAAGTTTCGTGCAAAATTCGGCTCTAACTAGTCCCTTCTTCTCCCACAAGTCTCTTTAACTTAGAATGTCTAAATTATGCAAAGATACATTTTAGCTTAGAATGCAATGATACATTTTATACCTGATCTTCTGGTGGTAGTGTATATGGATTCTCGTCTTCTGCAGATACCCTAAATGCCTGGTGGCCACTCGATGCATCAGGAACCTATGATAGTCAATACATAATGTGTTAATCATATTCGAATTTTATACATAATCTTGTGTGAAAATTGAACTATCAAACAATTTAATTTATATCGAACCTGTCTGTTGGGATCCACACTCGCCCCCTGTGACACTAAGGCCATCATCTCAGCTCTCATCTGCTGTAAATGTGTAGAGAACTCTGCTCGCAGCTCCTCCCTCAACTCATCCCTTAGCTCTGCACGAACCTTCTGCGTGATCTAATCAATAGTCGATGGCTGGGGTGTTGACTGTGATGGCCCAGCACCATCTTTATACACCGCTCTCCGAGGCACAATTCTCCCGTATGTGCGACAATATCCATGTCTGTCACCTATCAACTCATGGAAAATGACATTCCTAGCCTCCAAAGTCCGACCATCCTCAGGTAACATAGAGAGTTGACGATTAAACTCATCCTGTATTGAATAAGACATACAAGTATAGGCCAAATTAAGATGGTTGACACACAAAAAATAAACTTTAAATACAATCAAAGGTGTTTGAAAACTACCAAGGTCTGGATAACCTCTGGGTCATCTACTCTACGTGTCATAAGCCAAACATTCATCTTATCAGTAGACTCCCCCTTACTGGTCATCTGCATTTTTTTAGAAATATGAAAATTAGAATCTAAATAATTTGTAAATATACAATGTTTATTTATATACCAAAATAAAACAATAAAATGTAAACCTCATGCCGTATCTGAGAGAAAGTAGTACGCCCTGTGGTATGAGCTATGTCGTGAGCTCGCCGATTTTTAGAGTTCCTACTTGCAATTTTCTATAACAGGTTCGACAAATGTGAGTATGTAAATATGATTTGTATGTTTACATATCATAAATATAACTTATTTGTATACCTCAGCATCGGAAGTACGCCAATACTCCACAAGTTCTTCCCACTGGTTTGGCACAATGTACATAGGAACATCATCATTCAGATTAGGATTAGAACTTCTAGGCTTGAAATACTTAGCCTTAAGTTTGTTCTTGTGATCCTTCCATATGCTGTTGCAGTTTTTCATGCAGATTGGCTTGTACTCCTCTGGACATATATTCAAATTGTCCTATAAAACACAATTTCAAAGTTTAAATAATAATAACACAATTTTGGAATTCGAATTTGTGAACAAAAATATACTTTTACCTTCACATCCTTCCAGATAGCATCAATAATATCATCAGGCACATTGTTCCAGTCAAGAAAAGTAAGAGGAACAATGTTACCATTCCGCACAATAATGCTAAGTTGAGTAGTTAACTTAGCCACGTTATCCCCTATTGGGTAGTAATTTCCATCAAATTGTATGTCTAGCTTTTTGCCAGTACCCCACTCTTTAATGCCCTTGGCACATCCTCTACCATGCCTTGTCGAGGTTGATGAAGAACTAACATGACCTGCGAGAGACAATAACAATAAACAATATGCAATGGTAATAAACAAATGCAAATTTAAATAATGTGAATACAAATCATATCAAATAAACCTGAGATGGGCTGTAAAGAAGTCGAAGGGTCTGCAAAATACAATGAGAATAAACAAGTTATATATAATGAGCATAAATAAATGTATGTTTAAATAATTTTCATACAAATCAAAGCAAATTTATATACCTGCGGATGGTTCATAAGCTGATGATTTAGCTGCTGTGGTGCCACTGATGGTGCACAAAAATTCATGATGAGATATTGTGATAAGATATTGTGCACAAAAATTCATGCATTCTTCCATAAGATATCCTTTAGCAATTGATCCTTCAGGATGAGCTCTATTACGCACATATTGCTTCAAAGTAAGAAGATACCTCTCAATTGGACACATCCATCGAAACTGAATCGCTCCACCCAATAAGGCTTCATCAGCTAGATGTATAGGCAAGTGCTCCATTATATCAAAAAAACTTGGAGGAAATATTTTCTCTAGATGACAAAGTGTTATAGCGATACGATCTTGAATATATTGCAAATCCGTCGCACGATTCACTTTTGAACACAATTGTCTAAAGAAATTGCTCAATTCAATTAAGGGTTCAATTACATTTTTCGGTAACGATCTTCGAATAGCCAATGGAATAAGTTGTTGCATCAGAATATGACTATCGTGGCTCTTAAGACCCCCAATACTTCTATCATGTGAGCGCACACGACGTGATATATTGGATGAATACCTATCGGGAACTCTTACTTCCTTCCTTCAACACTTTCAAGAACAAATCTTTCTCATCCTTGGTCATCGTGAATTGTGCTGGTGGTAAATAGGCTTTATTCGACCCTCTTAACTGCAAATGTAGAGGTTTTCTAACATTCATATCTTTTAAATCACGCCGAGCATTAACACCATCCTTCAATTTTTCTGCAACCCCTGATATTGTCCACAACACATTGTCACAAACATTCTTCTCTATATGCATCACATCGAGGTTGTGTCTTATTAGATTGTGCTCCCAATATGGCAATTCATAAAGGATACTCTTTTTCTTCCAACTGTGGGTGCGATGTCCAGCTTTCTCCTTCTCTACCTGTCTTCTATGCCTCTCCTTAAGGTCATCCCTCTTGGTTTTGACAATGGCACTTAAACCAAAGCATAAATGTACTTTTCTTTAAAAAAAAGAAAAGAGAAAGAAGTTGAATCCAGAACAATGTTCACACAATCTAAGATTGTATCATACTAGTCTTCAGGTTAAGATTCTCGAGTACAATCATATAATTCCCGAATACAGGAACAGCTTACTGTTGTTCAAAGTCCATAAATTCAATCTTCTTCATGTAGTAATTGCTGTCTATACATTACAAAGGAGCCAACAACTATGATTTCTAGATTCATTCTCAATAGGAGAATAAAAAATAAAAAATTTGAAATGATCATGGCAGGCTCAGAGAATGGCTAAGGTCATATTACGTACCCTAACAGAATACCATGCCATCTAAACATTTTCTCAAGAGAGAGAAGCTGGAAAAAATGTAAAACAATATTAGTTTAATTGACAAGTGAGCAACTGACCCAAATAACTCCCCCGGAATTTGATGATTCAGAATCCTTCGTGCTCACAGCAGATTGCAATGTCTGATATAAAGGGACAAGGGCACCTTGTCCTGCAGTCTCAAGAATGCTGCAACTTCCAAGGATCAGCCCTTTGGGAAAACCCTTTTTCTTCATAAAATCTTTAAGATTACTAACAATCGTCTCGGTTGGATTCTCTGAAACTCCATGGAATTTCTTAAAACCCGTCACATGGATTGTTACCGTGGGAGGCCCTTCGGATCCCATTTACCAATAATTCAGATGAATTCAACAATGTGCTAAAGCAACACAAATGAGAAAAAATATCTGAATACCTGCATCAAACAACAAGAAATAAGATAACCTATTAAAGCCACACAAAAACAAAAATAATGAACCATAGGACTAAAATAGAACATTTTTGTATCTGTATAGCTGAATTTTACAATTAACATCTACACCAAGAAGACTATGAAACAATGATTTGATATTCAAAATAGAAAATGTTCATAAAACAATAGCATAGTATGAATCTACAACATTTGTTGCACCTTTTGATAATTAAGTTGGCAACAGATTAAAAAGTTGAAAACTTCTAATTTGTACTAAACTGAAGAATTAAAAAGAAAAATAAGAACAGTGAAGCAACATCTGTATAACATAGGGTATGCTGAGAAAAATCCAATTCCTCAGCATACCGATGAACAATATTATAAATAAATAAAACCCAATTTGTAGCAACATACTGAGATTAATTTGACCCTGAAAATCTGATCTAAAATCAACGACAGAGATTAAACCCCATAAACAATCGCTAGTTTGAAGAGCCAAGAACCCCAAATCATCACTGTATTTAAAGACAAAACCCATCTGAAATCAAGATTATAACTAAAACCCAATTGAAATTGAATACATAGAAACAGTATAAGCAAGACTGATCAAAGACCCAATTGATCAAATAGATCAAAAATCCAGAAACCAACCTCAAAAACAAGTTGTAATCAGATATGCATGTACAGCCAAAACAAAATTAGAAAAAACAAAAACAGAGAAGAGCTCTGTTCCTCACCTGGAAAACTTTGAGAAAAGCCAAAAGAGAAAAAATGAAAAAGGAGAGATGGCTCAACCACCAGTCTTATCTGTGCAAGAAAGTCATTTTAATTTGTAGAGTCTATAAACTTTTGAGATTCCTTTGCGATCAGATTGCGAGAGAGAGAGAAAAAATACGTACACAATCAGGGAGGGTCGTTTTCATACTAAATACAATAATGATACGTGTCTGTGCAGAGGGTACGTAAGTGATGTCTCTGTATTTGATCTGACTTTTACATTCTCAATGGCGCAACAATGTACAATAAAAGCTATTTATCCAATGATTTGGCCTTTCTTTTAAGTTTAGGTAAATGGGCTGGGTTTTCTTTCCATTCAGATTGAAGGGTATTATTGAGTTTGGAGAGGTTTATTATAAGTTTTATTTTAATAATTTGAATTATTTAATGTATAAAATTTATTAAGTACTATATGTTTATAAAAAATTATATTGATTGGATATCGATAGTTATCTCATCGAATTAGATTTCTGTTAATCGTTTATTTTTTCAACGTCTATTTTTTTATATATACAAACTGATTTGATCAAGTAACTATCAATATTCGATTAATATGATTTTTTACAAACATATAATACTTAACGATTTCTACACATTAACGATTCAGATTATCAAAACAGGATCCGCAGTGGACTCCCACGAGCCCAACAGGAAGCTATCCGCTAAATAATACACTCGCTTTGTTTTTCGGACGGAATACAAAAAATTGGTAAGGATGGACCAAAGGCAAATGTGAATGTAAAGGGGAAGGGGAAGGGGAAAGGGAAAGGGAAAGGGAAGGGGGAGATGAGAGTGGTGGCGGTGACATGGTGGTGGAGTGATGACGGCGGGGATGAGAACGGCAATAGTGACGATGGTCGTAATGGTGAAGGTAAGAGTGGCAGTGTGGTGATATTAGTAAAATTTTAATTTGAAAAATATTTTTTACTTTTTAAAGGTGAAAAGTATTTTTTACTTAAATAAGTTTGTTTTTTTATTGAGTATAAAAAATATTTTTTTTGTTGACTTTTGTTTTTTTTTTTTTGTTGTAGCAAATAACAAAAAATACAAAAAATATTTTTTAAAAAATATTTTTTGCCTAAACAAACGATGCGTGAATATTATAACCTAATCTTATGGGAGTCATAACTAAGAAAATAAAAAAAAAATTACAAATATATCTTTTAAGATTTGCTTGAAATAAGAATTATTTTTTGTGATTCTAAACATTATATCCCGTTCTTTCAACTTTCTAATTGCATAACAAATAATTTATTTTATTAATAGATAATTAATTCAACTAATAATTTTTAATAATGTTATAAATATATTTCAATTAACAATTCTGATAATTTTGTTATTGTAGATGAGAGTAGTCATAAATTTTATTTATTTTTATTAATTCTGTTAAATAAATTTTTTTGACAAGGGAGGTATTTGTAATTTCTAAAATTACAAAAAATAATTCATATTTTAAATAAATTTCAAAAGATGCATTTGTTATTAAAACATCTTCAAGTCTTGACTATTCTTTTTTTCATTTAATTTGATTCTAAATCTTAGTAAAAAAAATTATTTATATGATAAAATTTGGTAAAAAAATTATCTCCACTACTTTATCTTTTTAAATTTTTATTAAATTCAAATTTGATAATTTCTCTATTCGTTGAAAAAAAATATTTCTATGGAGCATTTTCCATGAGTTTTTGGACGGAAAATAAGTTTGCAAAATGGATTATTCAAATTCTTTTAACAAAATTAACTTATTTGGTTAATGAATTAATTTTTAAATTGCAACAAACAAAACCTCAATATTGGTAAGATATTTACGTTTGGATATCATTAAACATGGTATTTACCCTTTATTTATATTTAAATTGTTCATTCAATTTTAATAGTAAATTTTAAATGTTTAAAATTATAATATTGCGTGTAATTCTATTAGTTAATAGATTCCCTCTTCTTTAATAAATCGGATTCTATAAAATAATTAAATATGCATAATTATGTTGACCAATAAAATTTAAAAGGCAATGAACATTATCACATTGAATCACAGGCAATGATAACAGATACAAATGAAAGAAATGGGCTAAAAAAAAATAAAAATTATCTTAACAAATGAAGATTGTGCGTGTACCATACCATGCAAAAATTAGTGTTTAATCAATCAATTGCCTCTAGTAAGATGTTAAAAGAGGGATCTTGTGCACAAAATAAAATAAAAATAAATTTTCAATTGTAAACAAAAAAACGAAAAAACGAATCAACTTTAAAAGGATCAAAATTGTGTCATTTTGATGCACAACATACCTATTACAAAGTATAGATGCGTCGAGTTTGATACTGTGACGAAAACAAAACAAGAAAATATACTGTAAAATAAATATGGGTAGAGTCTCTATTTGTATCTTTAGGATTAGTCACATCAAACCAACTTACAACAAACTTTAAAAATGCATATTATTATGTGCTATTATAAATTAAAATTTAATTATTTGAAATAGTTAAATCTAATTATTATACGAACTTTTAAAGTTTTGATTCCCGACGGTTCAACACGCCGTCGCTAATAGTTCCTCATTTTAATACCCGCCCGTGCAGTTTTATTACCGACGGTTAAATGCCGTCGCTAAAACTCTTTTTTGCGACGGTTTATTTTGCCGTCGCAAAAGACCATTTTTTGCGACGGGGATCGCGCCGTCGCGAATACTTCCGTGTTTTTTGCCCTCTTTTCTTGTAGTGAAATTACACTAACATCTTTTGTAGTGTTCTAAAATTACATTTACACCTGCCCTTATTCTTTGAAATACAATTCTAAAAAAATAAATAAAAAATATAATTTATTTTAGATTATCAATCTCAACCATTCATGAGCTAACCGTTTGTTCACTAACAAAAATTGTTAATCTTAACAAATACATTTTTTGAAATATGCATTTTGCCTTTCTACTTCTATCAAAGTACAAATTCATTTTTCTATACCTACTTCCTCTTTCAATGGCACTAGTTCAATGGTAGTGAAAGGTTGGTAATGGGTTGACAACTTTGTTCCTCTCCATCTTGTCTCTTTTCAATATTCTTTTAATGTCTCTTTTTTTGATTTAGATGAAATTTGACAAGTCAAGAGATTATAGCCATTTTAGTACTGTATTTAACAATATTAGCTAACAAGAAGTCTCATTGTAAATTTAGAGAATAAGAGAATTTCCCCATTGTTAGTAAAATATCTGTTAGGTAATGTATCGACTAGCCTTAACACAAATTTCACTAATCAAACAATGACCAAGTGATTGTGTGTATGGTTGTACTGCTTTGACAGGTTCAAGCAATTCTTTGCAACAACAAAAACAATTAGAAATTGCAAACGAAAGAAATGATGGAACAAAAGGAAATTTTATTGATAATTTTCTATGTTACAATGAGATAAAATATGGCAAAAAGTCTTTTTCTTATCTTCATCCATCATTTCGTAGCAATTTGGGCTATCGATTAATAATTGCAAGGACCAATTGCTACTCATGGCACTTCTTTACTCAAATCCATATTTTAGTCACAAACATTTGTCTCCACAATTAGAATCGCTACTTGTCCTTTACATAAAAACCATGCGTTATTTGTGATTTGAAGCCATTTTTTTTCACATATTTTAGCTTGTTAACAAACTTGCGAAAGGAAAATTGATAAAAATACCCACTTAGTTTTTGATTTAGTAATTATCAATTTTATATTTGAACAATATTTTGAATTAATTATACTAAAACCCCCTTAACTATTAGTAACTATTACTTGAATTCTTCATTTTTTAACATGTACATATTAACCCCATCAATTATAAAAATCATATAAATACAGTCATTTTATAGGTGACATGGAGGAGTCTGAATTTGTTAAAGTTAAAGATCTCAACTTCACAATGAAATTGACCCATTATTGAACTAATTTTGACTCACTTTGATGATCTAAACCATTCATTTTATACACCTAACTAAGAAAATTATCTATACAAAAAATCAAATTGATCCAATATTGAATGTCATATTACTAGATTATTTTTTTTATCCATACACGAGTTACATGTTTTCAAGAATAGACCATCCATATGTTATAATATATATGTGATTTAATTATATCATATGATTATTTATGTCTGATCAATCCAATTTTTTACAGACATATTCTTCTTATATTGTCATATAAGATGAACAGTTTAAATAATTGGCATGAGCACGGATTAATCTGCCAATAGGTCAACTTCACCGTGAAGTTGAGGTTTTCAATTTTAGCAAATCCAAACTCGCTCAGTCGCTCGGTCGGTCGGTGTTGACGAGGTCAAAATGTAAGAACTCATTAAAAAAAGGGATAAAATGATATTTAGTGATAACTATGAGGATCTTGGTGTAAATAACCCAAATATTTTTTATCTGTGTTTCTCACTCTACCTACCAATGGGCATTAGCTGGTTGATTTGATCACTGCTTTAATGGGTTGCTCTTGCATCAATCTTTTCTCACACTAGTGATGGAAATCACATTATTAACATCCTCAATCAGGACCTCAAAACCCCTAAACAACCGTGTTCTAAAGGGTTTTGATCCTTACACGAAAACCTCGTCTTTGTCGATACCCCTTTCGGGAATCTCAGTCGGAGGACGACCCATCTGGGTTAGTAATGCTTGTCGTCTGAATGGTTCGAGAGTCTCCCTTTCGGCTAACCCAGTAAGTAGTTTAAAGTGTTTGCTTTTCCAAACCTTACTGTTTGGTTCCCCAGAAAACTATTAGGAAAAGAAAATAAACTTCAAATTGGAGTTATATGGTTATTGTTCTATTTGATCGAAATCACTGTAAATGGTTAGAATTGCATTTAATTATGCCCATTTTAGGTTGATTTGTTTATTTTATGTTATTTATAGCTCAATTTTCAGTGTATTGAACTGGAAGTTTAAGAGCTCGGCTTTTCACTTGCAGGTTTTGTTAAGAATTGGCAACTTCGTTTGTTTCATTGTTTTGATCATAAGCATGTAATTGACTTAACTTGATACTTTTAATTTGCTTAATAATTCAACTTTAATCCTTCTATTGCTATTTGCTTTTTCAAAAATTATGTTGTTTTTTGGATCATCGATTTGTGGAGGGAAAGGAAATGTGAAGCGAAATTTGAAGAAAATAAAGTAGCTTATATTCATTCACAAATCCCTCTCCATTTCTTTTCCCTCCACAAATTTCTCCTAAAATCCAAGATCCAAACACAACCTTATTGAGATACCATCACAGTGGAACAGTCATTTGCTTTTCTAATTTGCATTGTGGGTATTTCTGTCCACTGTATAGATTCGAAAAATGCTTGCTTAATGAGGGAATGTTAAGTTGGCCATTGAAAGTTTGTGTATACCCAATTTTTGGTGGATTTTTCGTCCCATTAAACTGGTGCTCAACAGAGCTGACTTGGTTTTGTTTTGACCTTGGTAGGTAAGGTTTTCTTGTGATGACTATTGAATCCCTACCTTGCAGTTTGCAAAATATAATATGGATCATGAATTTAAATGTGATTAAAAAAAACAAAAATTGTATATAAATTCTTTAACATTAGCAGCTGCACTTGAGTTTCTTTCACTTTGGAACTGTTGTTCTACTTCTTACATGTTCTGTACTCGTTTGGACTTCAATTAACACTTGGTAATGGTTTTAATTTGATATTTGTGGAAAATATAGTGATAAAAATCTTACTGAATACAATTTAAAATTTTATGGGGATGATCTGCAAATTTCCGAACAATTCATGCATTTCATGTTTGATCTGCATAGGTAGCAGCAGCAAACCATTTGCCTTTGGCAATAGATGGCTGTCATGTGTTCTATGGGGATGCCTCCAAGGTCTGTCGTAGGTTTTGTGGCCTAAAATTATGGATACTTCAAAACCTAAACCCTCAGTGGGCCAAAAGAAAACATGAGCGGGGAATTGAGTTTAAGAGTTTACAAATTCAAGATAAAGATCAATTTACGGAGCATATGGAGACAACTTTATCACATGGAGGACATGTTTCTGAAGGAGCATCAGCAATTAGTTTTCCAAATGGTTAGTATTGGCCTCGTATTTTCATTGTATTGAACATAATGCTCTGTTTTAGACCCCAAAATAAAAATAAATAAATAAATTTTTAAAAAAACAATATGCTTTGTTAGTCAAGTAGATGTGGGAGAGGACTAGAAAGTAGGACTCAATGTTAGATTATTTATTTATTTATTTTTCTCATTTACTATTTTGGTGCGCAAGAAATCTCTTTAGAAGTTAACCGCAAAGCTTTGTTGATTTTTTTCTTTACATTTTATTTGGAAAATGAAACAACTTTGGGAAACTATAACTTAAAGTGGAAATTACCAAAAAAATAAAAAAAATAAAAAATAAAGAAAAAAAGAAGAGAGATTTGGCCAATTAAACCTTAACTTTTTGTTCACCTAAAAAAAACCTTAACTTTTTAATAGTTTCAAGTTAAACCATGAACTTTTAAAATGGTATCAATTCTAATCACCAGTTTGTATCCATTAATATAAATAATGGAAAAGGGTCAATTTGGACAATTTAATCACTTTTTTCCCCTTCATCATTGTTGATCACCACCTCCTACCCTTACCTTTGTCCGCTATCAGCCCTAATTTTTCCCAACCCACTGCAACACCTCCATCAATTTCCCCCGTCCATCGCTACTCCTCCCCTTCCCAACTCACTACCACCCTCCCATTTCCTAGTCCATAGCCACCACCATGTCCCATTTCCTTCACCGTCCAACACCATCAACGAAAATTGTTTAAACTATATAAATTTCCCCTTCTTCGTTGGTTAATACAAACGAATGGTTATAATTGATAGCATTTTAAAAGTTGAGGGTTTGAATTTAAACAATTAAAAAGTTAAGGTTTGATTTGTTGAGTCTTGTGTGGTTGGGTGTCGGGTCGTGTGGATCCTGATTTGTTTACCTTTTTAAATTTCGTTGACGATGTAATTGGTTAGTGTTCTTTGTTTGGGGGTCATTTTTTGTATTCATTAGCATCTTCTTGATGCTCTTTTTCAATAAATTTATTTATCCAAAAAAAAGAAAAAAAAGTTAGGGTTTGATTTGTTACCGAGGTCAAACGGCATAGTTTTTGTTTTCTTCGTAATTTGCCCCAACTTAAAAGCAAACCGTAAAGCTCAAATTATTATTATTTTAGTTGTTCTTATATATATTTGGGACAATTACATAAAAAATCCCAAAGTTTGAGCCTTGTAACAAAATAAACCTTGAGTTTTTAATTTTGTCAATTAAACCATAATCTTTTGATTGCTTTTCAAGTTTAACCCTTTGTTTATTTTTGTTAAGTAAAATTGACGGAAAAAGAGTATTTTAATCATTAAACTCGATGTAGATATTCATAAAATATCTAAAAATATACTTTTTATTAAGTTTAATGATTAAAATACTGATTTTTCATTGATTTTACTTAATAAAATAAAAAAAGGCAAATGGTTTAGATTGACAACAAATAAAAAATTTAGGATTTAAATGACAAAATTAAAACTTACGGTTTATTTTGTTACAAGTCTCAAAACTCTAGTTTTTTTTTTTTTTTTTGTAATTTCCCCTATATATTTTTAAAAATTTTGGTTTCCTTAGCAATCATATTTTTTGAGTAATTTCTTTATCTGTATACAAGTATTGTATATACACGTTTCTTCATTTCACTTTCAAAATTAAGTTCTATGTTACACGGACTCGCCAAATTTGGCGAAATACCCATGTCGACATGACACGACACAGGTACGGGTGTGGAATTCGGCTGGGTTACGGCATGAAGAAAGTGAATACGGTGGCATACCTGCGAGGCGGCGATTAAGGCTGAGATTGTCTTTGTCAGTCTCTTCTTTCACTGTTGATCTCCATCTTCTTCGTCTCTCAGGGCTTTGATCGTCTTCATCACTCTCTTCTCTCATTTCGATCTCGATCATCTTCGTCTCTCTCACTCTCTCTCTCTCTCTCTTTATCTATCTCTGTTCTTTGTTCTGCTCTCTCTCTCTCTCTCTCTGTTTATATAATTTGTTTTATATAATATATATATATATATATATATAATACAATTTATCAAAATGTTCATCGCTTACAATCAATTAGAACTGTTCATATCATTATCTCACTTTCTTACATTAGATCTATGCATCACATCAACGGTGTACCACACATTAAAGTAGGTGGTCTTTTTATTTATATTTTTTAAATACGCTTCTTTTCCCCTCTATAAGTTCCTTCTAATAAATATAATAAAAAAAAAATCTAAAAAAAATTATAAAGTAAAATATCTAATTTCTATTTTTTTTAAAATTTTTTTTAACATAATTTATTATTCCTTAGTTATTATAATTTTTTATTCATAATATATATGTCAATTAAAAATAAAAAAATAAATTATATAGATTAATTATTAAAAATATTATCAATAAAAATAATACATAAGATTAAAAATAAAAAATATGTTTTAAAAATAGCTATTTAACGTATTCCCATACCCATATCCACATTTGGATCCATATCCACATATCCTCAATTTTTAGTTTTGAAGTGTCTGACTCCCAGATATGCACCTACACCTGATACCCGCACCCGCATCCGCACCCTCCGTGTAACGTAGATTAAGTTCATTCTTTCTCCATTTATTATGATATAGAACTTTACAATCTTTAAATGGTTAAACAGAAGCCTCCATAGAGGAACTGACAGACACAACTTCACGGCATGGAGAAATTTCTATTCCAAATGTTGAACCTGCTGTTTCTACTAAAGTAGCCTCTTCCATGGAATCTCCTTTATCTTTTCCCATAGCAGGCACAACAAAATCAGCTTCCCTTCATGGAAAACATTCTGACCCTAATTTTCAACTTGATGTTTCCACAAGAACGGCTGCTTCCATGGAATCTTCTTCACCCTCTCTTGGTATTGCTGTCATTGGCGCTACCGGTGAACTGGCAAGGGGAAAGATTTTTCCTGCACTGTTTGCACTGTACTACAGTGGCTTTCTTCCTGAGGTAGATGTTCGAAATGTTTTCTCATAGGGATTTCTATGCATTAAACTTCAGTTACATTTTCAACTTGCATGAAGGATGGTGATTATCTGTGAATATATTTTGACATTTTAAACGCTTTTGGACGAGTATTTCACTATCAGACCCCTGTTGTACTTTTGTTACGTATGTTTTATTTACTTTTTTTTTTATATTTTTTTTATTTGTTTTAAGCTCATTGTGTGGAACATTAAATTTATCTGTGTTTACCACGACTAAAAAGAAATTGGTTCATCTTAGATTTTTGTGCTGGATCTTTTATGTTACTATGCTTCCTTCCTCTTCTTTTCTTATTGTTTCCTTTTTTTCTCTTTATTTAATTATTGATTTTTTTGGGGGCTGGGGGAAGACCTTGTTTTACCCTAAAAATGAATTAGCCGTGACGGAATTGTAAAAAAAACAACACCCAATTAGTACCCATTAATGGGTGTTTGGGAGGGGTTAGATTGGCTGCAACGGAGCAGTACTATTAATTATTTATGTGGAGAAGATCTGATAATTTTAAGGTAGTGTATAGTGTTAGGTGATATTGTGGCAAAAATGGGGGGGAAAATAAAAATAAAATAGAAGAATCCTTCAATATTTTATGCTGGTTCAGTGCAAGGAGGACTTTGAGGTTTTTGTTGTTAACATATTATCTTATTGAATAAAGTTATGACGAGCATGCTTCCATTTCAGTTAATTACTCTGTTCTACGTGCAACATTTAGCTTATTCTAAATCTTAAACAAATCTCTCAAGCAACTAGATGATCAGCATGATTCACTGGAAAATAATTTCCGGACTTGCAATAACAGTGAAATAAGTTGACTGTCGGATGTTAGGTGTAAAATGGCACTAAGAATGAATAGATTTTATTGTCTTTTTTAGGCAGTTGGTTAGCCCTTGTGACATTGAACATCAATGAATTGAATCAACATACTGTTTTTTCAAGTATCAGTATTTGACATTTCCATTGCAAGCTTTCCAAGTCTTAGCTTGCTTTTCCATGGCTGCAGAATGTCTATATTTTTGGATATTCAAGGAAGACTTTGACGGATGAAGATCTCAGATCCATGATAGCATCAACTCTTACTTGCCGCATTGATCATCAGTATGGTCCTCCTATCAAATTTCTGTCGGTTGTCATGATTGGCTATTCAGCCCTAGTTAGCCAAATTGTCATTGTATTCAAAAGTTTATAGAATAGCATATTTTGTGCATTGGTAGTTTATACTATTAGAGACTTCTTAAACTCTGAATAGTTCCCATGAATGGAACTGTGCAGGGAAAATTGTGGGGATAAAATGGATACTTTTCTTAGTAAAACGTACCACCTTAATGGAGGATATGACAACAAAGAAGGGATGTCAAAGCTCCATGCCCGAATGGAACAGATTGAGGTAAGTTGATTCTCAAAGAGATTAGTTTGATAGTCGGGAACTATTTGCTGCTTACTCATTCTATCATTATTCTGTTAAATGCACTAGTTTGATGCTTTTGGTAGTTGGTTCTTTAACAGCTTACCTGCCTCAGGGTGAGTCTGAAGCAAACAGAATATTTTACCTTTCTGTGCCACAAGAAGCACTTCTAGATGTTGCGACCTCTCTTGCTGATAATGCCCAAACCAAGAAGGGTTGGAATCGTATAATAATTGAGAAACCGTTTGGTTTTGATCCGCTGTCTTCTCATCAGTTGACCCAATCTCTTATTTCCAAATTCCAAGAGGGGCAATTATATAGGTGTGATGCACATTATTTGTATGTTATACTCGCACCCACACAAGAATTTTTCTGTTTATTGAAATTATTTTTGTTTCAGGATAGATCATCTTCTGGGAAGGAACATCATTGAAAACCTTACTGTTATGAGATTCTCTAATCTTGTTTTTCAGCCACTATGGAACCGAACATATGTGCGCAATATACAGGTAGATCTTTTTGAAAAATGACCCTCACATGTGGCTTAGGTTTATATCTGCATCTTTACTGTCCCGTTGGCTTATTTTCAGGTCATTTTATCAGAAGACTTGGGTGTGCCGATGCAAGGAAGGTAATCATAATAGTTGTTTGGACTTCAGTATAGCGATCTGTCATTTACATGTAAAACATAATATACTTGTAATTTTGATTTGTTGTTTTGCACAGGTATTTTGATGAATATGGAATCATCCGTGATATTGTACACAGTCATATACTCCAGACAATTGCATTACTTGCTATGGAGCCACCAATAAGTCTTGATGGCGAAGATATACGAAATGAAAAGGTACACAGCCCCTTCTTCGCAACACACATATTGCAAAGTCAAATATCACAAATTCACCACATTGATGTATCTTTTGATCTTTACAAGAAGCTTCTCTTCAGGTCAAGGTTTTGAGATCAATCCGTAAATTGGAACTTAGTGATGTCGTTCTTGGTCAATATAAAGCTAGTTCAGGAGATAAGGTTGATGCTTACTTGGACAGTTTGATCCCCACATTCTTTGCTGCGGCTTTGTTCATTGACAATGCACGGTGGGATGGCGTGCCTTTTTTGATCAAAGCTGGCAAGGGACTCATCAAACACAGGTATCTAGGATCAGTCGCAGTTTTGTTATTATGAGTTTGTCATAAACTATAGTGAAATTCCACTACATGACTGCTCAATTATAAGATTTCAATGCATGACTAAAATTTGTTACTAGTTTGTAACTCGTTTTTATAATATTGGTTGGTAATTTATTCTAAAAATCTGGAATTCACCTAGAAACAATGTTGCGTGTTGACTCTGCCAGTGATTTAGAATTTTTGGTAAATGTAATATCTTCTTGACTTCAATAATGGTTCATACACATACTTATTTGATAATGTAATAAATATATTGACTTTGCATTTGACTTTTATTTTTACTTTTTTCCGTACTTAATATTCAACTTCTTATCACACCATGCTATGACACATTTGGCAACTTTATGGGTATTGTTTGGTTTGCTGGAATGATTTTAGACAAAAATGGCATCACTATTCCTTGGTCTCCTAGTGAGATGACTATTCTCCTAAATTGGTGATGGTGATCGATTTCTAATGTAGATTCCTTTCTTTCTACAGAACCAAACATAAGAATGGATATACTGTAGATTCATTCCAATGAACCAAACACTGCATGATGGTTTGTGTTAAAATCCACCTACTCTCCACCTACTTCACCCACTTAAACCTACTCCACTAAACCTAACCCACTACACCACTACCACCTCACCTACTCCAGTAAACCTAACCCACTACACCACTACCATCTCACCTACTCCACTAAACCTAACCCACTACACCACTACCACCTCCACTTCACCTACTCCTTACCTAACAAATAGAATCTCTTCACCCATATTAGCTTTATTACACAGGGTGGAGATACGCATACAGTTCTGTCATGTTCCCGGAAACCTTTACCGTGACCGCATGGGCCATAACATTAACCTCGCCAGTAATGAACTGATTTTACGAGATGTGCCTGACGAAGCCATCCTAGTCAGAGTTAACAACAAGGTTCCAGGACTAAGTTTGCATTTGGATGCTTCCGAACTGAATTTGCTCTACAAGGATAAGTATAACATTTCACTCCTATATTTAAGATCTTTCACTTCAAATGCATAATTCTACCAATGCTAAGGCCTTATCATTGATGTCCATTACATGTCTGTCATTGTGTTCATCCTTTAGGTATAACGCGGAGGTACCTGATTCGTATGAGCATCTTCTTCTTGATGTGATTGATGGAGACAACCATCTATTCATGAGAAGTGATGAGCTTGAAGCTGCATGGAAGATTTTATCTCCAGTTCTGCAAGAGATAGACAAGAAAAATATGGTACCAGAGCTGTATGAGTTGGGAGGTAGGGGTCCTGTTGGAGCCTTCTATCTCTGGGCAAAACATGGGGTTCAGTGGGTTGATGACTAGTAAGGCTCTCTACCCCATCTTTGTTTTGTTTCTTGAGAATGATTTGAATGCACAATTAATGATTAGAGTTCCAATGGTTCTTGCATGAAACAATAATAAAATTTACTGTCTTGTGATAATGAGTTGTGACCATGTGCCTTTCCTTCATTTGAAGACTAAAACCTGTTTGGTTGTGTTTTTGTTTTCGGAATAAAAAACAATGAGAAGTTAAAAATTATTCATCCTTTCCGTATTGTTTTCAGTTTTTGCAAAAGTAGTTTTAGAAAATTTAGAAACAACCTTTTGGTGTCTCTTAAAAAGTGAGTTATTTAAAAAAAATCAAAAAAAGTTTTTGGAAACAGTTTGCAAACAAGTTTGTGTTTTCTAGGAAGTAAAATAAGAAAAACAAAATCACAATCAAACATTTCTACCTGGCATTTTGCAATTTTCTTATGTTCTTTTGTACCAAAATTTGAATTTTACCTGATAAGGTTTCAAAAGTGACATAAGATTGCATGCTCTGTGTTGTGGAGTGTGTGTAATTTAGAGGAAATTCAAGAGATATAAATAACTAAAATTAAGAGTTAATCTCTCTGCATTGATCTTCTTGTTGTAATTCAATGGTCTAGGTTTAAAGTTAAAGGGAAATGATGTCCTGTGTTTTTTAAAAATAAAATGTATTTTGATTCATTTTACTGTAATTTTATACTTGAATCGTTGAATTGTGTATTTTTACAGACAAATTTTGTTGTGACAAAAACAGAAAAATCATGATAAGAGTACCTCTATCCACAAATATTAGCCACCCTTCATAGCGTTTTTTACTTTATAGCCGCTCCTCATTTCCCATTGGTTGAGCTGCTCCCATTCCTCTCGCTTTCAATAGACAGGTCGATCAAATGAGTACGGTGTGATGCCAACTTTTTCACCTGTACAACTCTCCTTTCACCCTCCTGTAGTTGGTGTGATGCCAACTTTTTCACCTGGATGACTCTCCTTTCACCCTCCTGTAGTTAGTGTGGCCCGTTTTTAAGCGAAAAAAAACACACAAGTTTGTGCTATGTCATGCCTTTGTTTCTAGCCAATAATGCTAGAGAAATTTAGACATAAAAAAGTATCAAGCAAAATTGTGTAATAATTGAATTTAGATCCCATATTATTATTTTTATTATTTTTCTAGTACTTTTTTGGGTCTGAATTTTTGATCTCTAACATTACTTATTTCAAGAATTAGGGATGGGCTGGGTTGGTTCCACACATTGTCTATGTACGTTAGTGATTAGATGATCAGTCACACTAGGATCGACACACAGACCTGCACCCTTACATCATTTTTCACTGAGCAGTCATTTAGGGGCCTTAGTTGGTGATCCGGGTTGTTTCCCTTTCAACGATGAAGCTTATCCCTCATTGTCTCACTAGCCGACCTTGATCCTTGTTATTTTGAGGTCATACCAATTATTAATCTAAATTCAAGTTCAAAACTTATGAGGGATAAATAATTCGACTCATTCACATCCATATCATGAATGTTTGGAATTCATATTATGCAGGAGACATTGCTTGTGAGTAATTCATATTACATTTACATAAAGGCTTAATTATCTAATGTTACTTTTTGAACAATGCAATCCACTTTGGTAATCATTGTATCTGGATTGGACAGTTGATAAGAAGAAAAGTTGTTAAAAGCACATGATAGAGGGCCTCCACTTGAATTGGATTTTAGCACATATCCATGTATTTGTATGAAAATATGTGACCATCAGGGCAGTTGTACTTTCATCATATGATGATATGCTGTTTGTTGTTTTTGTGTGTGAGTCATGCTAGGATATTTATCCTTATTTATCTATTCAAAACAATAATGGTCGAATTTGAGTATCAAAATATTATTTGTTGTTTTATTAATGCTTTTGTTTAATGGCCTCCTCCTTTTGTATAAAATATGAGGTTTGAAGTATTAATAACGATGACGCGAACGCAGTTGTGTAACATAACAATTGGAGCAACTAGAGTCGTTGAGTCGTTAATCTTTTATTTCTTGGTGAAAATTTAAAAAAACTTATTAATACACATGTTTTTATTTCAAAGGTTCAAAATAGTTTTTGATGGATTTTGTTTATATTTTACACAAGACCCAATACATGTGGTTTTTACACTAATCCTTAATCAGTATGGATATATAAATTTTGCTGTATTTAATTTTTTTATTTTATTAATTTTTACTTATGGATTACTTCTCAAATGTTATGGGAAAAAAAAATCATAAAAACTATTTAATATTAATTTAAAATGCAAAATGTCAACCAAATAACGTAACTAAAAGTACATAGCATGATAATAAATTTAACCTGTCTTGAAATAGATTTATTTATCAAAGAACAAAAATAATGAATGATCGAAAAAGAAAAAAGAAGAAGAGAGAACTAAGGTGTCGTTTGGGAAGAGCTCATTTGGGCTCTTTTGGCTCGTTGAGTCACAAAAGACAGAATAGGTTATTTGAGCCACAACAGACAAAACATCACATCCAACTCATAATTATTATACTGTTCTCTCACAAAAAAAAGTTAAAAAAGTTAAAAAAGTCAAAAAGTCAAAAAATCTTTCTAAAACCAAACTTTTGAGCTTATGCTCAAAAAGTCAAAAAGTCAACTCACTTTCCAAACAGAGGCTAAGTTCAACTAACTTTATTTATCCGAAAAAAAAGCTCAACTAACCTTGATGACAATTTAAATCTTTTAGAACTTAACGATTGGATACTCCTAGCACGTAGATTTAAGATTTATGTATAAGTTATAACTTGTATATGTCTTTTATGTGATTGCAATAGCTTGGGGAAAAAAAAAAAAAGAAAAAAAGAAAAAAAAAAGAGGTGATTTTATATACAAAATTAATTAGGTCATCAAAAAAAAAGAAAAAAAGAAAAAAAAAAAGGGGTTAAAAGCAATAGTGGAATGATCATAACGGCCAAAATGTTTTATTTTAACGATGCAATAATGGACATTACACCTTCTACGTAATAGTGGTGGTCATTAGCATTATATATTTTAATCACACCATTATAACAACAATAAAAAGTGCTAGTAAGTAGGGGTGATTATGAATTCGATGACTTGTTTAACAACCTAACTTAGCATGATATTTTTAAGGCTTAAGAAAAAGATTTAACTCATAGGAATAGATTGGGTTGAGATTTTAAGCCTATTTAATTTTCAAACTAAATTTGAGAGAAGGAGTTTTAATCTAACTCGGTCTACTCATTTATTAAATACTAGTTCGCGTTATTGTTGACTAAGAATAAGATGCACCATAATATATTGTATTATTAAGGTGTTTTTAGATAATTTTAAAGTCGTAATATCAATATACAAATAGACTTGATTAGATACAAAAAAAATTGAGTTTGGAAGCATTAAATTCAAATTAAGTATCATCTCTATATAAAAAAATAAAATAAAAAAGGACACTTACCAATCAAACCTATTAACTAGACTTATTTACCTTTTTTTTTTCTTTTTGACAAATTTATCACAGTAAATTTATTCATAAAAATAAAGAGATTGATAAATTTATCAATGTGACTTAATGAATAATAAGTCCCAAAAATAAGACTTATTGGTAATTTATCCTAAAAAAATTGCAAATCAGAAAATTGCATATTAGATTGTCTTATTTGACAGATGGTTTAACCATAAAAATATATAATCTTGTTTGAGCGTTGTTGTTCATTGGTTGCTTGCTTGAGTGATTAGATTGAATGAGTAACCAAGGCAATTACTAATTTCTTCATTGTGTTAACCAATCAAAAAAATATTAGAACCAAATAAATCTGACCCATGCATATTCACTTTGTCTATGTTTGATTTGATTTTTAAAAGCTTGTTTCAATTTTTTTAAACTAAAAATTAATTTGGTGAAATAAATAAAAAATTAAAAATATTTCTCACTTTTATATAATTTTATCTTTTGGGAGATCAAAATTCATTTTTTAAAAATATTTTTTTTGATATTTATTTTTATCAAATTAATTTCAAAATTTTTTATAATTTTTTTCCCCTTGAAAACAAGCCAAACCACCACTTGTTTTTTACAAAATATATCAATTAAAAACCAAATATGTAGACCGAACAATGGTAACTTTAGTAGAAAAACATGGTGGCTTTTGGTTGGCTGAGCCAACATGTATACTCAACATAGGTGGCTAAGTTTCAAAGGAGATATTATTTCAAAAATAATTTTTTGGAGAGAGTTTAAAAATTTGTTTGGTTGTATATTTTGAAAATAGTTTTAGAGTTTTAGAATTTTGGATGATTTGATATTTTTTTTTATAGTTGAATAGATGGGTATGAGATAATAAGTGATTGAAAATGAGAGAATAGAGAGAAAAAGTGATTGATTGATGTGTAGTAGAGAGAAAAGTGATTTTGAAATTCTTTTCTCTAAAATTTTCAACTAAACATATTGAATTTTTTTTCTCCAATAACATATTTTGAGAGATAAACCAAACATGCTTATAATTTCTCATATAAATATATTTACAAACACAAGCATATTCAATTGCTATAAATCTATAACCCATATATAAATCACAACAAACACACTATAAAGCAAACAAATGAAAGACATGCAATCTTAGACACAAAAAAATCATACAATTAGTAATTTTTTACTCACCCGAACAAGACCATTTTGATAGTGAACATTGTTTGAAAGAGGAAATTAGAAACCAACATTGTCGTCCAAACTCTTACTGACAATGATGGTATAATGATATAATAAGTGTCAACTTTTAATTTATTACACATCCAATAATAAAAAGTCCAACTCTTATTATATCATTATACCAAACTACAGATCTCTAACATTTTTGAAAAATTTATTATACATTATAGGAACAAAAATACTATAAATCTAAATTTATGAATCCATGATTTGTCCATCAATTTTTTTATGGATAAATTCTTGGTTTATAAGTATCTTGTTATGAAATATTTTGTAGAAAAATTGAAGTGACCACCTCTATGTCGAGGCTACGTGGCTTGATATGTAGCAAAGCTATACGTCATCATTTCTATACCAAATGGCCCATCACAATGGTAAGCTGTAATATTATTTGTAGAAATGACATTTTTTTTCTAATTAGAGCTTGAGACTCAACTTAATGTTTTGCACTTTTTATACATGTTAGTTGGAAACGCGTGGGGGTTTTGTAACTAAAGATAGAATTTAAAATTTTATTGATGGAATGAAAGTACGAGTATAAAAATATTGAGTTAATTTGAATACATTAATAATTAAACATAATTTCACCTATAAACATTGTGAAAAAATTATTTTACAAGAAAAATAAATTAATCTAGCAAGTATATTTTATTTTTTCAAAATATATATAACAGTTAATTTTTAAAATTTTATAAAAAATGACATATACCTCTTGTATTAAAAAAATACTCAATAAAAAGTAGTTTGTTTAATGGGCATGTTATTATTATTTTTAAAATTTATAATAAATTAAATTTTTATGCAAATGTTAAATGATTTTTTTTTTTTTTTTTTTTTTTTTTTTTTTTTTTATGAATAGATTAGGTAAAACCATGGTTTCAAATTAAACCAAATTGTATTTAAATAGTTTGGATTAGATCAATTTATAACTTTAAAAAGTTAATTTTATTTTAATTTTTTTAGAATTGTAGCCTGTAAATTAATTTTGATTTCATCCTAAATCGATCCCAACCAGACCATATTAACCTCTCGTTGTGAGCTCCATCAGCCTTCCTCCACCAGCAAAGACAAATTATTCAAAAGCCATGATGATCAATCAACCAGTTAAAAATAAATAAAGGACGAATTACACTAACAGTCTCTATAGTTTAAGACTCGTGTTACTTTGATCTCTGACTTTGCAATTGTGACACATTTGACCTTAAATTTTGAATCTTGTTCCAAATAAGGACAACTGAAGATGCCATTGCTCAATTTCAAGGACAAAGTTGTCAATTTGATAAAATATAAACTAATTTGACAAATCAAAAAAATATTTTTGAATTTTTAAAAATATTTTTTATCCACCAAACATTAAATTATGTAAAATTGATATATCTTTTAGACTTTTATTTTATTTTATTTTTACTAAATTAGTATTTATTATGTGTTTAAATGATAATCATGTAATGAGTGGTTGTTAGATTTTTAATGTGTAATCAATATATTTAATATATGAAATGTTTTTAGTTTGAATTTTTAATTTAGAAGAATGAGTAAGACTCCCACCACCCCAGTGATTTTTGATTGGTCCATATATATATATATATATATATATATATATATATTGTATTCTCCTCTTGCAGCCCCCATGTGTATCTAGGGGTGCTGGGGTCAACCCCCACTGGGGGTAGAGCTGTGCAAAATACCGCCCAATCCGCTAAAACTGCATCGATCCACATCTATCCGCACCGCTCTAACCGCTAACCGCAGTCTAAACTTTAAAATTTATAACCCGCCAACCGAACTGCACCGCTCCGCTATAGTTAATACATATATATTTTTT